GGGACTCGATCCCAGGACCCTGGGATCATGACCTGAGCCGAAGGCAGACGCTTAATGACTGAGCCGCCCAGGCACCCCGCGGGGGACCATCTTTCCTACTGCGGGCTGGGGCCACGGGACCAAAGGGCTGGGGAGAAACACCCTTGACCTCGGGCACAAAACCACTTGCCCAGAAGCAACAAAGCTGAGGGTAGTGACCATTTATTGAGCAATTCCTCTGCTCTCGGCACCGAGTTAAACCCTGTTCCTCATAGGAACTCTGTGTGACTTTGAGCAAGCCATTGTCCCTCACAGCTCCCAGAGGTGAGGTCTTCCTTTGGAACAAAGAGGTGCCGAGGGACATACTTCTGTCTTCCCATCCCCCTACCCGCCCCCTCCCCAGGCCAGGATGGAGATCAAGGGGCATTTCCACACCAGTGAGGTGACATGAGGCTCTAAGCCCTCTAGAGCCAGGACTGAGATTGCGACAGACCCCTGGGTCCCCTTCCCTAGGAGCAAGGTGGATGAGGGAGGAGACCCCCCCGCAGCCTGGGCCGGCTGAGCCTTTTGACAAACAGGAATTCCAACCCAGAGGGACAAACTCGGCCTCAGTTTCCCCCGGGGGCAGAGATTCAGTGCGTGGAAGCATGGGTAACGCTTGGCACGACTCGTGGGCTAAACCAGCTTTTGCTGAGCGTGCCCCATCAGAGCTGCCTTGATGGGACCCCAGAGAGAGCGGATCCCAGACACGGGAGGAGGCCAGCTGGTGTTGGTGTGGGAGGCCTGGGGTTGTCGGGGGGCCCGGCGCTAAATGCCTTTGAGTGAGGGTTTCGGCTCCAAGTCACCACACAGTTTAACCAGCGAAAGAGCCGAGTTGTTTCTTCCGGCGCCCACTTGGCGGGGGCGAAAGCTGCAAAATGGTTTTCATTTAAACACCCTCCGTTTTGAACTGCTCAGAAACTTCTCGAAACAAAGTCTCCTTTTTTGGCTGAAATGCCTCCTGCGTTGGGTGTATGCCCAAACAGCGTTGCCTAGAGGGGGGTGGAAATCATCTCTGGGATGGCTGGTGTTCCAGAAGCTTCTGTCCTGCTTTGGGGCTATTGATCACCACCCGGTTTTCAGCTCGTGGGCCTTTGTTGTTTTAGTTTAGCTTTCCTCCCACTCCAGGGGACAGGGACGCAGGGCACAGAGACATTCACAGGCACCAGGCATTCTCATCCATCTTCGCCTTTTCTTGGAGGAGAGGGGCGAGGAGAGAAGGCTGGAGCCCGGTCAGGGGACGAGGCGGCTCCCTTCGGGCCACTCACGTTCCCCACCACCCCCTGCCCCCACATGTGACTCCTGCGTTTGCAACAGTCCTGAACGCCCAGCTAGGCCAGCGCCGTGAGCACTGTGAACGAGATGATTCTTTGGTGTGGGGGCCTGTCCTTGTCCTGAAGGGCGTTTATTAGTAGCCCCGGCCTCTACTTGTTCAACCCCTGTAGCACCTCCCACCCCCAGTCCTGACCATCAGCAATGTTTCCGGACACTGTCAGGTGTCCCCTGGAGGCAGAATTGTCCTCAGTAGAGAACTACCAGTCCAAACTCAGCTGTAAGGTCATCTTTTCCCAGGGACCGCCCTGTGTCCTGCCTGACAGGACCCCCATCGGCTCCCACGATTATTATTTACCAGTCTCATGGAACGCTTCAGCCTCAAATCGAATCAGTTGGTTGCTCAAGAGTCAATAAACCCTGCTAACGTGGGAGCTTCTTTGAAAACAGGGATTGAGTGGTATTCATCACTGGGCCTGGAATGTTCTAGATGCTCAGCAGAGCAAATACCCAGCATTGTGCGAAGAATATTGGACATGTTAAGGGACTGTGTAACTGGGGAAGCAAAACTACAAGGTATGGACAGCTCCAAAAGGTTGACAATATGTTCTGTTGTCCAAACTGGGCAAAACAGACCTTCCCATACACTGCTGGTGGGAAGCCTTATGGGGGAATCTGGCCACCTCTAGCATTTTTCTCATTGGCCCAGTAATCCCGCTTCTAGGAATCTGTCCCAAATATGTACTGGCAAAAATAGAAAATCATGTTTGCGTGTGGTTCTTCGTTGTGGCATTCTTTTAGTGGCAAAAGACTGGAAATGCGCCAGGTGTCCATCAATAGGGCTCTGGGAGAATAAACCATGGGGTAGTCCCCCAGCCAAGTGCTTGGGAGCTGTGGAAAGGAGTGTTTTATTATATTTGCAAAAAGCAATGCTGGAAGGATAAAGCAAAAACTGCTTTAAAAAATAAGTTCTGGGCGCCTGGGTGGCTCAGTTGGTTAAGCATCTGCCTTCGGCTCAGGTCATGATCCCCGGGTCCTGGGATAGAGTCCCAAGTGGGGCTCCCTGCTCAGCCGGGAGTCTGCTTCTCCCTCTACCGCTTCCCCCTGCTAGCGATCTCTCTCTCTCTCTCGGATAAATAAATAAAATCTTTAAAAAAAATACAATAAAAAATAAGTTTCTCCAGATGGAGGGAGGGAACACTAGAGAAAATAGAGTGTGGGGAACAATCCACATAAAGAGCGTTATGTTTGTTGTGCCGAGATGGAATGGTATCTGGAAAATTATCAATAGGCAAGTTGAAGCACCAGGGTGTTCAGCATGATCTCATGCTTGTAAATTTTTTAAAACGTACATTTGTAATCTTGTAAAGCATGGGGAGTAGAGCTGGAGAGAGGCGAGTATTTTGTTTTACTTCTGACCCTTCTCTGGTATTTGAATCTATTACTGTGACAAGCACTGACATTACTTGGTTATTAAAATATACATTTTTAATAAGATCAGATGCATAAGGAAGTGCTGAGCTTGATGGTGTTGCGTGTGTGCGGAGTGAGTGCAGCAGGGGATCCCAGGTGGACTCAGGTGGTCACGAGGGCTCCCTGGAGGAGTGGGCAATAAACTGGGCCCTGGGGGACAAATAGTCAAGTCCAGTTCCGCCCCTCAATAAAATGGAAATGGGGTGGGGCGCCTGGGTGGCTCAGTTGGTTGGGCGACTGCCTTCGGCTCAGGTCATGATCCTGGAGTCCCTGGATCGAGTCCCGCATCAGGCTCCCTGCTCGGCAGGGAGTCTGCTTCTCCCTCTGCCGCTCCTCCCTCTCATGCTCTCTGTCTCTCATTCTCTCTGTCTCAAATAAATAAATAAAATCTTTAAAAAAAAAAATAAAATGGAAATGGGGCAATAGTGGCTGTAAACGTCCCTCAAGGGACAGGATGGGTCTAAAAGGTAATAGTTGCTGACGCCATGCCTTCCCCAGGGTTATGCCGGGCGTCCTTATCTGAGCTGCCCATCCTGCATCAGAGGCCAGCATAGACCCTTGGTCAGCTCCTCTGCTGGGGTTCACCCCCTGATCATTCCCACCTCTTGTGCTTTGCCTCTAATGTCTGCCCTCCCTCCCTCTGATCTGATTGGAAAATTCTTGTACATCCTTCAAAACCCACTTTGAGCACCACCTCCTCTGAGGAGCCTTCCCTGATTGTCTCCCCATCGCCCGCCAGAGCTGAGTATCCTCCTGCACCCTGGTGTAACCCTTGTCCCACAGCACTGGGCGTCTTATTCTGGGGCCTGCCTCCCTCAGTCTGCTCCGTCTCTCCCCAGTACCCTACACAGCCCCTGGCACGCAGTAGGTGCTCAGGGTGCAGAAAGGTGCCCTTCTGCATTGTGGGGCCTTCTGGAAGGTTGCTCTCAGCAGCCGGCCAGGTGGGTTTGGTGAATAGGACCAGGACTCTGGTACCAGCTTGATGGTTCAAATCCCTCCTCTACCACTGACTGGGTGCTTGAACTCGTGCCAGAGACCTTGGCCTCCCTGAACCCGCTTCCCTGTCCCTCTGTAAGTTGGGGATGATGAGGCTGGCCTCCATTGTCTATACAGGATTGCTGCGAGCAATGATCATGGGTGCTCAAGAGCCTGCCCACCGTGGGCCCTCGAAACTGTGACTCCATGGGGCGCCTGGGTGGCTCAGTCGTTAAGCGTCTGCCTTCGGCTCAGGTCATGATCCCAGGGTCCTGGGATCGAGCCCCGCATCGGGCTCCCTGCTCGGCGGGAAGCCTGCTTCTCCCTCTCCCACTCCCCCTGCTTGTGTTCCCTCTCTCGCTGTGTCTCTCTCTGTCAAATAAATAAATAAAATCTTTAAAAAAAAGAAAGAAAGAAAGAAACTGTGACTCCTGTTCTTGGTTATGTGTCGTTATAATTCCACGACAAATATCCACGGAGGGTTTACGGTGCCCCAACGCCTAGGCCAGGTGCTGAGGATACTCAGCTGTCCCCTGGGCCTCCCTGACCTGGTCAGTTGTCCCTCGTGGCAACAGGAGCCTGTGGCCTGGCTCCAAGATAGGGGTCCGACTGCTTTGGGTCACTATTCTATTCCCCGTGGGCACTGCGCCTGCCACACAGCAGCTGCTCAGTTAATATGTGGGGAAGGGATGAAGGAGGGAGTGAATTCAAGGGATCTGCTCCTGCTCTCGGGGCCGGACCGTCCATCCGCAGAGCGGGGCGGCTCAAGGAGAGCGCGCCGTGCAAACTGCCAAGCTAATGCCTGAGTCGTGACCCTCTGGGCCCTGGCACCTCCGCACCTCTGGGCGCAGGGCGGGCCCCGGCCGGCCACCCACCCACCTGCTGACCCTCGGCCCCTCCGCAGGTGAGTGTCCCAGCCCGGGGCGCGGCGGCGCGGCCAAGCGGAAGAAGAAGCAGCGGCGGAACCGCACCACGTTCAACAGCAGCCAGCTGCAGGCGCTGGAGCGCGTGTTCGAGCGCACGCACTACCCCGACGCCTTCGTGCGCGAGGAGCTGGCCCGGCGCGTCAACCTCAGCGAGGCGCGTGTGCAGGTGAGCGCTGCGCACCCCGGGGGGGCTCTCCTCGGGGCCCCGGAGCTGCGGAGGCCAGGCACTGAGCGGCAGGAGCGTCTGAGGCCCCGAGGACTGGGCTTCAAATCCAAGCCCCGCCACCTACCCGCTGGTGTGGCCTTGAGCAGGTTACTTAACCTCTCTGTGTTGAAGGTGCCTCCCTGGAAAGTGAGGACCACGCGGTCTCTTGTAGAGGGTTCTGCATATTTGTCAAGTGCTTAGAGCAGTGCCTGGCGGGGAAGGGTTTTGCTGAATAAAGCCGTGTTCAAGTGTTAAGGTCTGCTCGTTGCCAGCTCTGAGCCGAGAGCTCAGCACGCCCCTCTCCAGTCACAGTCTTGGAACAGCCGAGGGGCTCGTGTTCCCGTCCCTCCGCGCGTTCCCTCGCCCTTTCTCCGACGCACGCTTAGCCCGCCGCAGAAGCATCCCCATTTTACAGATAAGGAAACCGAGGCCCAGAGAGGGGAAGCTGCCAGGCCTCAGCTGGTGGCAGAGCGGGCACGCACTGCATCCCAAAGGACGTGGGTCCCCTTTGCCGCCTGCTGCACCCCGTTCAACACGCCTCCCCCGCCCCCAGGTCTGGTTTCAGAACCGCCGGGCCAAGTTCCGCCGAAACGAGAGGGCCATGCTGGCCAACCGCTCCGCCTCGCTGCTCAAGTCCTACAGCCAGGAGGCCGCCATCGAGCAGCCCGTGGCTCCCCGGCCCACCGCCCTGAGTCCCGATTATCTTTCCTGGACCGCCTCGTCCCCCTACAGGTGAGAGCAGGAACCCCTTCCGGTGGGGAGGGGGCGGGGCCTCTTCGGGCCCAGATGCCTCGGAGGATCCGCAGGGAGCTGCGATTGGTGCCCAGGCGCCTCTGAAGCCCCTGTCGGCCGAGTAGGGTGTGGGCCAGTGTGTGTGTGTGCTCACGAGTGTGTGTGTTGCACACGAGTGTTTCCACATCAGTATGTGCACGTGATCAGGAGTGTGCATGACTGCGCGTGTGCACGTGTGTGCATGAATGTGCCCCGTCTGCAGGGGGCATGAAGAACCCTTGTCACCCTAAGGAAGCTGGAGACCAAGAGGAAGATTTCTGGGCTGGCAGGAGAGCCCCAGCGCCCTGCGCTGACCTCCCTGGCTCGGAGGGCTGAGGGAAGGGCCTCCCTAGCCCAGGGGGCCTGGCTGGGGTCCGGAGCCAAGTTCTGAGGCAGTTTGGCTCTGGTCAAAGCTGGAGAAAGGAGGCAGGGCAGGAAGGAAGAGGGAAGAAGTACTAGGGAGTTATGTTTCTGTACCCACAACTCCAGGGGGTGCCACCTGACCCTTAGTCTGTGGGAGGTGCTGGAGCCCTGGTCTTGTGCGAGGCGAGATCCAGCAGGTGGGCTTGTGGGGTCAGAGTCCTCATGATGCCCATGGTGGCCAGCTCTCCCGCCCTGTCCGTACCTGGAGCAGGAGAGCCACCCAGAGGCATCCTTCTGAACAGGTGTGTGTTCCCTCCCCCTCCATCCCGCTGTGCACCAGGCCCAGCGCAGGTACTGGGGGTGAGCAGGACCCAGGCTCTGCTCTCGGGAGGCTCCTGATCCAGGGAGGGATGCCCACAAACCCACAGAGGCTGCTCTGTGTCCTGGTGCCATTTGTGAGTGTTTCTGACTCCTCCCCAAATCCTGCAGCCCCAGCTACGCCCAGCCCCTGGGGGGAGGGCTTCCCAGGAGAGTCAAGTGAGGAGGGGAGGCAGGAGGACCAGAGGCCGGGGTCCAGGGCCGGCAGCCGGAAGTGGTCAGCTTTGCGCAGCATGCCAGCCACAGCTACATGTCCTTGTGCCTTCTGTCACCCCCAGCACGGTGCCGCCCTACAGCCCTGGAGGCTCAGGCCCTGCGACCCCAGGAGTCAACATGGCCAACAGTATCGCCAGCCTCCGTCTCAAGGCCAAGGAGTTCAGCCTGCACCACAGCCAGGTGCCCACAGTGAACTGACGGCCGGCCTCCCAGGACCCCACTGCCTCCCCGGTCTAACAAGGGCAAAGAGAGCAGACATGAAAGTGACCTTCTCCTGTCCGCTGTCCCCAGGACAGGCTGGTTGGGCTCTCCTGGCCCCTCTCTCCAGTCCGGACTCCTGGGCCCAAGAGGCTGCTGAGATGCCAGGAGCCCCTTGTCTACAGCCGTGGGAGACTTTGGCCCATGACCTTTGGAGGGGTTGAGCCAGAGGCGCAGGAGCCCACCAAGGACTGCATTTATTTTGTGTATTAAAACCGAAAAGCTTTTGTCTTTAAGAAATAAAAAAAAAATTTTAAGCCCCAAAAAGTTTGAGGGAGGGCGGATAAGGGCAGCGAAGCAATTGAGTGGATGGCCTTCTGGGGCCCTGCTCTGGCCTGCAGCCGTGCCGGGGCCAGATGCCCTCATGTGGGCGCCTTCTTGTGAATGAAGCCCTCCATCATCCGGCAGAGCCCCACGGGTGGGGAGTCGGGTAGGAGGACAGAGGCCTGCCCTGGACCCCACGGGCACCTAGGTGTTTGGGAGAAACCCCGCCATGTGACTCTGGGCAGGATCCCTTCCCTGTCTGGGCAGGGAGTGTCCCCTCTGCCCTATGGTGGGGGGCAGGGTGGGTGACCATGGATTCCTGGGCTGGCCAGACTGTGTGTGTGTGGCGGGGGGGCAGATGCTGGAATTAACTCCCTTATCTCTGGGCATGCAGAAGGTATGGGACCCTCCTGGGCCCAGGCAAATGGCCCAGAACTGGGGGTGCAGAGTGGAGGTCCCACGCGGGTCAAAGGACAGAGGAGTGGTCCTAACAGCCAAGGACACCAGAAGACCTTATCCAAGTCCACCCACCTTTTTGCAGATGATAACTGGCGGTGACAGAGGACACACGTACCACCAGCTAATGACATCACTTATAGAGAGTTTGTAGGAAACTGGGGTGAAGGGAGTGGTCTGAAGCCAGCCCCTTCCACCTGGCCCCCTACGCAGCCCCTTCTGTGGGGCACACCCTCCAGGGAAGTTCAGAGTCATTTCTGCTGATAGTGACCTCAACCAGCCCCCAGGAAGTAGGACAGCACTCCCCGACCCCCAGAGGGCATAAAGATGACCAGCCCCTCCTGGTGACGGCCCTCGTTGTGACACGGCGATCACACCCCGATGGAGCCAATCAGGGGGACCTCTCCTCCCATAGTCTGCCCTGTCCACACTGCAGCAAAGTGCCCCAAAGTGTCAGCTTTCCCCCCCACCCATGGGCTACATCTCCTAGATGACCTCAAACAGGTCAAAGCCTCATGACAATCCTTGCGTGAGGGACAATCCCCATTTTTGTGTTAGAAGATACGGTAATTATACCTCTGAGTGAGGTGAGGACCCCTCCCCATTCTCCCCCATTCACCCCGAGATCTTCTTCCCCATACTTCGTCTGGGATTTCACCGTGAGTACTGGGTTCTTGGGCACTGCGCTTTGCCCTTTTCTGATGTGCACACAAGCCCCAGGACGCTCACCGTGTGACTTCCCTGTGGCTGGACAGTTGGGACTCTGTCAGCCCAAGAGAGTGAGGGGTGCCGATGAGGGTGAGGGAGGCAGGGGCTTTGGCTGAAGGCGTGGGGAGGGGGCATCCTGCTGTCTTGAGGGGCTCAGGCTCACCTGACTACGAAAGCCAGAGCAGGGGAGACATCTGTGCCCTGGATGGTGTGTGTGTGGGAGGGGTTGTCTTGCTCAGTTTGGCCTCTGCCTGGGCTAAGTGATCTCTGGGTCTCCATTTACCATTCATTCGCTGAACAAAGAGGACACACTTGCTGTGTGCCAGGGCCCTGAGGAGAAAGCAGGGAACTGACATGGGGTCCCTTGCAGGGAACTGACATGGGGTCCCTTGCAGAGAACTGACATGGGGTCCCTTGCAGGGAACTGACATGGGATTCCTTGCTGCAGAGGCCACACCAAACACAGGAGCCCCAAACCTAGTCTAAGACATCTGGGCAGTCTTCCTGGAAGAGATGTCCTGGAAGGATGAAGAATTGGCCAAAGAGTGGGGGAGAACAGTGTTTCTGGCTAAGGGAACAGCATGTGTGAAGGCCCTGGGGTGAGCCAAAAGCTGTCTCTTTGGGCCAGTGGGGACAATTCCAGGGCTGGATCTCCCGGTGCGGGGTGAAGGTGGAGAGAAGCGGGGGCTGGCTCAAATGGGGCCGGTGTGGCCAAATCTAGAAGGCGATTGGCTTGGTAGAGGGACACCCCCCACCCCCGGGTTCTGTATGGAGGAGTGGCCATAGGACTAAGAGTGGAGGCAGGGAGGCCCCTGCAGAGGCCAGGGCAGATGTCCAGAGAGGAGTGGCAGGAGTCTGGACCAGATGTGGGCAGATCTGGGAGGCGTCCCAAACACAGCAGGGGCAGGGGTTAAGGACCGGATGATGGGCTGAGGGAGACGAGGGAGGCCAGGTGGTGGCCAGGATTTGGCTTAGGCACACGGAAGTACCGGGGAGGAAGAAGACTCTGGAAGCAGGACTTGCCTGGTGGAGGTGTCGGGAAGATGCTGGCCTGCCCTTCCACCCAGAAGAGAGCTGGAGGCCAGCCTGGTCCGAGCAGCCTCCTCCCTCATGAGGGGTTTACCATTTCCCCCCCACCCCAGGAATCTGCACCAGCGAAGGCCGATGGCCCATGGGGTGGCCAGAGCTGTGCCCTCCTGGCAGCCAGGCAGGCAGGCCTCTTTCCTCCCCAGAAGCACTGAACCAAAAGCAAGTGACAGGCCAGCCCAGCCACCGGCCAGAGCTCCAGCCCTCAGATTTCTCATCCAAAGGGAGGGTGCCATGAAGCATCGCCAGGTTGGGGTGGCCTGCAGCAGAGATGGGGTCACACTGGGTGGAAGTTGGGACCTAGAAGGCAGGTCCCAAGAACACCAGCTTCAGAAAAAGCTGGGGGCCTGTTTCCCATGGAGGCGCCGGCCCTGCCATTGGGCCACAAGGATGGCAATGTCACTTCCTCCCAAGCACGCCAGAGAAAACAAACCGGCTTAATCGTTTACACGTGCTGCTCCAGGGAGCTGGGGGGGGGGGCACGGCAGCCCTCCCTGTAACAGGCTGTCGCAAGTGTCCCCCTAATTGCGGAGCTGCGTGGGCAGCCCCCTGGGCACCCGTCCCGGGATAGAAATTTCCATGAGGATAAGGTACCCAAGGCCCCGTCCTGGGCTGGGAGAACTTGGAATCTTTCTCTCTTTGACTCCCTCTGCCCATGTGGCCAAGCAGGCTTGGGAGAGGACACTGCGTGCCTTTGCTTCTATTTTTTTGTTGTTTGTTTGTTTGAAATAAAAGAACTTGATTGAAAGAAAGAGAAAAGGCAGTCTGGGCTCTCGCAAAACCCAAAACCTGGGAGGTAAAGACCGGTTTTATCTCGGGCGAGGCACTTCTGTGAGCCTCAGTTTCCTCCTCTGTAAAATGGGGCTAACAACAGGTAATAAGAACTGAAGCCAACTCATGGGATTGTGGGCACAGAGTTACCTTCTGTAAATGGGCACTTCGGTGTTTACGGTTGAGGGGCACAGAGTAGAGTTGGAGGAAGTCAGAATACTCCCGTCCTGGGGTGCAAGAACACGTCTCCTGCCCTGAGAACCCAGCACACGCTGTTCAGGGGCCCTTCAGTGCCCAGCCCCTGCACCTCTGTCGCCCGCCCCTGGGGGGCGCTGTGTGGTCACTGCTGGGCACAGAGCTGGGTGACCATCAGGGCTCCAACTGGCGCCTGACCCAGCCTTCTCTCGAAAGACAAGCAAATCCCAAATCACCAGCAGGGGTCACAGCGTAAACATCATTGGCACAAGCCTTCCGGAAATTGTCCCAACAGTCATGAGAATGTGCACATGCTGTCACCATCTCCAACTCCATCTCGAAACCCCACTTCCAAGAAGGAATCCAACATGGGGGGTGGGGGTAGGGATTGGAAAACCAGTGTGTGCTGAGCTGTTTAGCACACATTTCATCCCTGCAATGTAAAAACTCTGGGAAGGACACAAACCCAAAGGTAAATATTATAATTTAAATGTTCATCGTGGCTTGCAATCCGCTTGTCTGGGTGTTTTCTGTCCTGTGGCTAATAACCTAAGAGAGAAACAGAATGGGCAGGTCAATGCAGTAGTCTCAACTGCATAAAGAGCTCTTTAGAGAGAGAAAATGTGCTTGCACCCTGCTGTGTCCCTTGTGAGGGAGTGGCCCCCTTCCAGAGCAGTCCTCCACTGCCTATGACCCCCCCCCCACCAGTCCCGCAGGTCCTGAAGCTTTGTGGTCATCAGTAACCCTTTTCCATATTGCAAAGAGTGTGTTTGAGAGCTTCTTAACCCTTAGTTCACACCGTAGAAGGACTGAGCTTGAGACATGGGGGGTCAGGACTGGGCACCTGGAGATCAGAAGGAGTCCTCAGAGGACAGGTGGGGTACTAGGCAGTATTCTAAAATGGCCCTGCAATTCTCACCCCGGGGTAGTCCCCTCTCCTTGTGTGAGTGTGGATGGAAACTCTGACTCGCTCCTCAACAAGAATGAAAGAAGTTAGCCGATTTAATTAAGGTCCCTAATCAGCTGACTTGACTTGATCGAAAGGGAGATTGATTATCCTGGGTGGGCCTGACCTAAGCAGGTGAGCCCTCTAAAGGAGAGTCAGGTCTTCCCTGAAAGAAGGGACTCAGAGCACAGAGGTGCTCTCCTGCCTGCCGGCCTTTATAGCCCAACAGCCCTGTTGGGAACTGCCTGTGGAGGGGTAGCCCCCACAGCAGAGGGCCTCAGTCTTACAACCAACTGCACGGAACTCGGCTCTGCCCAAAATCTGAATGAGCTTGACAGGACACTGAGCTCCAGGTGAGGCCTCAGCCCAAAGGCCTCTTTGACTGCAGCCTGGTGAGACCCTGAGCAGAGGACCCAGTCAGGCTATGCCCTGACTCCTGCCCTCTAGAAACTGTAAGGTCACGTCCTGCCCTCTAGAAACTGTAAGATCACGAGTGGGTGTTGTTTTAAGGGGCTAAGTCTGTGGCAACTTGTTACACGGCATAGCAAACGAATACAGGTGGAGACGGAGCTTGGCCATCCACCTTGAGCTTGGCCTTCTTCTGCCCATGGCGCACCCAACAACCCCCGACCCACTACAGAGGAGACACGAAGCCTTTGCTCAAATTCTTTGCCACCCCCCAGGGAAATCCACCTGTCTTACCTCCTTCCAGGCCATTCTGCACAAGCTGGCAGATTTCTTGCCCTAAAACCCATTCTTGATCATGTTCCCCCCACCGCCCCCCCTCCCCCCGTATAAAGCCTTCCGTGGCTCCTGAGGGCTCTCTCGGCAACATTCCATCACCCAGGCCAGGTGTTTGAGGCTCCACCGCCTGGCCCAGCTCGCCCTGTCCAGCCTCAACCCCCCTTACCCCCGCCCCAGACTCTCCAGATAATCCCTCCAGACAGTCCCTTTTCCCTGCCACGCTCCTTCCTCAGGCTGTTCCCCTGTGGCCTTGAACATGCATTCCAACAAGGGTTACAATATTGTGTCAACTTTTTAAAAAACAAAGCCAAATTCTCGACAGTCAGCAGATAGCTCCGCATGTCTGGGGGAGTTGTGTGTAGTTTGAAAAAGAAGAATTCAATGTTATAATTTTATATTTGGAAATGGGAAGAAAAACCCTCTTATTTGCATAATTCACACTTTTAAAAAGTAAAGCTACTCAGAATCTTCTTGGCCGGCACAGATACCAAGAAGAACGACCTTTGTCCTATGGGTGGCCACGCGGCAGGCCCTCCAAGGAGCAGAGGTGAAGAAACATGACCTACCTCACAGTCTCTTTTGGAGATACACACGCACATACACACACACTGATATATAGTATATATGTATCTATGCATGTTAAATACATATAAATATTATATGTATTTAAATACATATTATATGTATCTAATATGCATAGATACATAAATATATTATGCCTATTATATATAATATGCATATACGTAATATGCATTGTAAGAAGATCTGGAAAGTAATAAACCATAATGTGAACAGTGATTTTCTCAGGGACGTGGGATTGTGGGTGGTCTCTGGTATTTTCCGACTCGGGTACTAAAACTTGACAAAACTCTTTTTAAAATCCCATCCAAATTGGAACCATCTTTTTGGAGGACAATATAGACCACAAACGTTAAACACGTGCCTTTCACTCAGTCATTCTACTTCTAGAAATGTACTTTCAAGAAACGGACGTGCACAGAGATTTCTGTTCGAAGATGCCCATGAAGGCATCGCTCATGCTGACGCAGCCTGGAAAATTAATTTCTCCAACAGTAAGGGCCGATTAAATAAATGATGAGGTTATCCAGGATGATGGAATACCAGGAGGCTGTTAAAATTCATGTTATTGACCATCGAGAGCCCCGGGAGGAAGTGCCGAGGTGCCGTTAAGGAAAATCTCGAGCGATGACAAAAAAGCCGGTCTGACCTGTTGGCTGCAAGCCCGTGAGCCCTGATGCCACCACAGCTGTCTCCCCAGTGCCAAGAAACCCTTCACAAACACTTTTTGTCGCGGAATGCTATGCCGGATAAAAGCCCTCCCGAGTCCCGATCTCTGTGTTATATGTACACATTCACACACACACACTCATTTTACACACAATTCATTCACTTCATAGAGACGTCCTAGGAGCCAGGTGCTCTTCCAAGACCTGGGGACAAAGGCACAGCAGGAAACAGCAGGGACCCAAACCCCTGACTCCCAGAGGGGCACAGTCTAGAGGAAGAGACCAACAGTGAAGGAGATCAAGAAGATGCCAGCCTCTTGAGAACACGGCCTCCCTCGGAGGGGGCTGGAAGCTATGCAGGAGAAGCCTCCGGCTCTGGGTGGGGAGTGCACCGTGGGGGCCCAGCGTAGATCCTGGGATCCAGATGGGCAGCTGTATTGACCCAGCCCCCATGGCCAAGGGCACAAATGAGTGTCTCGGAGCACCCGGAGTGTGACGCAGGGCGGCCCCTGTGGGCTGAGGGTATGGAAGGTGTTTATTTTCTTCTTTGAGCTTCGACATTGACCCTTCCTCATACATATAATTAACAGTTTAAAAACAACAACAACAACCCATTCCCCTTTCAGGTTCCAAATCAAAGGATACCTTTCCTGGGAAGCCTGGCTGGATTCCCCCTGCCACAGACACCCCCTCTTCTGTGACTACCTGAGGCCCAGCTGGCTCAGAATTAGAAGGGGTCAGTCTGTCTGCCCTGGCCAGCCTGGAAGCCTGTTCCGGAGGGCAGTGGCCTCCTGGGGACACACCCACCCACCCACACACCCACCCACACACACGGAGGCTTCTGTGGGTCCTGTGGGAATTGGGCTCTGCTTCTGCAGGGGGTCCCCAGATCCTGTCCCCGCCTCCAGGACTGTGAAATGAGGCTTCCTTGCCCTCTCGACACTTGCCTGTGAGTCTAGGTCCCTCTCACGCCAGGCAAGCTCTTGGAAGCCTTGAACCAAGAAATCCACCAGACGAGGGAGCCCCAGGAGTTCCTGGCAGGTGCGCTCAGGGACAGAGACCACAAGCCACCACCTGTCCTGGGCTTCCTCCAAAGCCCTTGCCCCCTGCCCACACTTCACACCACTCCCAACCCTGGGTCAGGAGGGAGGAGGCAGCTCCCGAGAGCGGGCCCAAGTCAGGCTGGGCCGGTGGCAGGCGTGTGGACTGCAGACAGAGACCAGGGCAGGACAACAACTCGTACTCAGCACCTCTGGCCAGCTCAGCAGATGTGGTCCGCTCTCGGGGACCCTGCCCGGCTTGTCTCGCCTGCTAGGAAACAGGTGCTGGCCTCCCTGGGCCTGGTGTGCAGCCGAGGCGGGAGCTGCTGACAGGAGGCCGCTCCCAGCCCTCCCCCCATCCTGGACTGTGTCCGCCCAGGGGACAGGAGTAGAACAGGCCCTTGGGCGTCCTTTTCCCCTGCAAAACCCTGCAGCTCCACCAGCTGCCCCGACAGCACCCTGGGTGGGCCGCTCCCTGCTCTCCGCTCACACCCGCCTCTCCCCTGGGCCCTCCCGCTCCTGGGCGACAGGCAGGGTACTGTCCATGGCACTCGGGGAGCAAGGGCCACTGCCTGGCTGTCAACCCCACTTTGCTGGCTTTCTCAGAGACCCTCTTAGGACACAGACCCAACTACACTGATCCCCCTCTAATGTCCCCAACATGGCCCCAAAGCCTCAGATGAGCCCCACTGCTGCTGACCTTTAGCCTCATTCCCCACCCGTCCCCAACCCCTTTATCTCCCCTCCACCTCCCACCTTCCCTCACTCACCTCCCCTCACTCTTTTTCCTTCCACCCCTCACCTCCCTTCACCCCTCCTCTCCTCCCCCTCCCATCTCCCCTCCATCCCCAGCTCTTCCCTCCCCCCCCACCCCTCCAACTCCCCCCTCCCCTCATCCCCCCACCCTCCCTCCATTCCCATACCCCTCCACCCTCCACTTCCCAGCCACCAGGCCCCAGGAGACTGAGCTCTGCTCAGCTTTGCCCCTCAATTTCGTCAGCTTGGATATTCCCCCTAAAACAAATCCGTCTTACCTCCATTCTCAGGTGAGTTGTTGCCTCCCCCTGGAAGCCCCCCCCACTGCCCCATTTCCCCCCATTAGGGTGCTGGCACTTGGGGTTCACTGTTGTTCCGCTGTCCCCACACTCGGTTGCTGCCCCCGGCCCTGCACCGCATCCAAGGGGATTCCACAGAGATGGATGAATGGTGGGACAAGGCACAGGGGCTCCACAGGGCCAACCCCCTTCACGCAGGTCCCGGATTCACAAGGTTCCTGTCAGATGCGCTCCTCGCCCGGCTCCGCGCTGGCACTGTGCCCCCTCAGCCCCTCTTTCCCCAGGAGGGAAAATATTACAATATAAAAACACATACTGGGTCTGCTCCTCTGGCCTTAACCAAATCCCAGCTCAGGGACGTTGAGCAAGTGACTCCTCCTCTCTGAGCCTTACTTCCCTCCTCAACAAGCAGAAATATCTCCCTCCTGGGACTGGTTTAATGATCAAGTGAAAAAAGATGGTCAGCACCGCGCCCAACCAAGGCTTAGCAAACAGCAGGCTCTCTCCATCCCTGGTGGTGCCCTCTCCGTTCCAGACGCGCAGCGGCCGCCTGAGGTTAGACGCTCATCTCGCCACCAGGGGGCAGTGTTATCCACTCCCAGCTCTGCGCACGGAGCGCGGGGGGCAGGGCTAGCCGGGGATTTCTAGCGACGCCGGGAGTCCCTTGAGCCCCCATGAGGCCCCCACCCAGCAGGCCCATCAGCCCCCGCGGGCAGAAGCTCAGGGGCTGCAGGCTGTTGGGAGATGTGCCCAGGGGCTTCCCCAGATCCTGGGGAGAAGGGGTGGTGGTTAGGGGAAGCGAGGCAGTAGGGGACAGTGGTTAGAGCAGGGTTTCAGAGGCTGACAGGCCGGATGCAGAGCTGGCCCCGCGCTTCAGGTGCTCCCCGCCCCGCGGAGCCTCAATGTCCTCATCTGTAAAAACGGAGTTGATAGACCATGTTACCCACCCGAGGGAGGCGGCAGCTGGGGGTCTGAGCAGCTTGCTTGCTGCAAGGCTTAACACCCCGATGGGGGTGCCTTTGTGTGTTTGCCAGAGACCATGTCCTGTCATTTTGCGCCCCCCCCCAACTCCAATAAAACTGTCCAGCCAAAATGACCGACCTGGGTGGGGGAGGTGGACCCCAGGAATGGGCAGCCAAGATGTTGCAGGGTGGTGGGCCAAGCTGGACAGACACTCCACTTAATGATGAAAACCACACATATCTCAGAACAAGAGTCTAGGAGACACACACATAGACTCCCCATTGGGATGCACAGTTGTGGTTTTCAAACCTTGCAGATACTGAAGGAGCCAGAAAGTTCTTTTTAGTGGTTGGTCCTTCAAGCCCCATTGTCCTTGCTTGACAGCCTTTAGGAGAGACTAACTCCTCAGGAAGAAAAGCGAACTGTCCCGGGGGCCCCTCCTATTGGCACTTGCACTTAGAAGACAATCCAGTAAAGGAATGAGGACTGAGCCCAGGAGTGTCGACCAGACATAAAGGAACATAATCCCACCCCAACCTCACTAAATTGCAAAATCAACCCTAACCTATCTGCGCCCTGCTTCTAGAGGGAACTGGCAGGGATTCCCAGGCCTGGCCATCAATGGGACATGGGGGAGCTTTTTACAAAAGCCGATGCCCAGGATCCCCCTCTGAACTAGCTGAACCAGACTCTCTGGGGTGGGTCTAAGAAATCTGCATTTATTATAGCCCTGCATCTGGAGGGTTGTTTAGTTTAGGAACCTGGACTGAGTCTCCTGTCACTCTTAGCGACGAAGAAGGAATGTGGTTTTTAATGCTCTGGTATTTGAGTGGAAGGATTTTCTATCAATCTTGACATTTCTACGTGGTCCAATTAGCCACTTTCCCCAGAAATCCAAGGGGCACACACACACGTGTGTGGACACGCTTATGTAAACACACACAGGCCCACGATGCCCAGAATCCCATGTTCAGCCGGTTGCCAAGAAGCCAGGTCCCCGGGGCCTATCGCCATCTCCAAGGGACGCCCAGTCCCTCAGGTACAGTCACCGCGGCTCGTGGCCAGTGGTCTGGTGGCTGAGGATTCCGCTGCCGGTCACAGGTGGCGGGCTGCTTCCCACACAATCTGCAGGGCCATGGAGGCGCAGGGGAGCTGGGCCACAGTGTAGGCCAGGGAGCGGGTGGGCGCCCGCAGCTTGCCCAGGTAGGCCACGGTGTGCACCACGCGGCCCAGGAAGAAGACGAGGAAGTGCATCCGGGCGATGAAGGGGTCAGGCCCCAGGACGGAGTAAACGAAGCCCAGGAACAGGAAGGGGTAGATGGTCTCCATGTCGTTCCGGTGGGCTCTGGGAAGACAAGGGCGGGCAGTCAGCTGGGGGTCAGCACTGACCATGTGGTGGAGGCGGGGGCCCCCTACCTTGAAAGGCCCCCCACCACGGGAGGACTGTCTCAGGGTGCCAGACTCAAGTCCATTCACGGCCAGGACAAAGAAACACCACAGAGGCAGGAGAGGCAGCAGGTCCAAGCCGGCGCCTGTCAGCAGCTGAGGAGAGGCGGCCCCACGTCGAACGGACCAGCCGCCGCCACAGGCAGCCGGCTGGGGGGTCTTGCCCCGCCCCAGCGCTCTCCAGGACTGGGCCCCGGCCGCCCGCCCCACCCTCTCCCCCTCTGGCCTTGGACACCAGGTAGGAAAAGTGGGGCTCTGAGGGATTGAGAGCCGGGGTGGGTCCTAGGTCAGACTCGAACCCCTGCCCTTTATCACCAGGGCAGGCTTCTCTGAGGCCACCCTCCTTCTGAATGCAGGTGCTTGGGCCTCCTGAGTAGCATGGGCTAGAGCGTGGGCCCGAAACCCTTGCCTAACTGTCTTATTCTGCCCCTAAACCCCAGCAAACCTTCCTTCCCTTTTCAGGATCATAATAACAGAGCTACATCCACTCACTGGAGCCGACCCATCACTGGGCACCAGTGAAGCGCTTCATTTCATCCATGCTATCCTGCTTCCTTTCTGTTGTGTTTTGTTTAAAATGATCAAGTGTGTGAGTATGTGTGGCGGTGCAGGGGGGCAGGGGGGCAGGGGAGAGGAGTGGAAGGGCTGTGTACAACCCCCACCATAAACAAATGACCAAGAAAGAAAACTCATCCACTTCTGCTAAGAGTTGGTTCACATTTTCCATGACTCCCGCTAATGGGCAGCTTCCTTGGGGAGAGGTGGGAAGGGCAAGGCCCGTAAATTAGAGACTGAGCCAGCGACTGATGGCATGTTCGAAGAATAAACAAGATCCCAGCACTGGCGCTGTGACCTCCCCCAAGGCCAAGCCACGTGTGTTGAGGCATGAGGACTTGGCTGGAACTAAAGCCCCTTCTCCAGGCCCTTCCAGCTGGAAGGCGTTTCACCAATGCTGTGCCCGGAGGCCAGGCCCGGGCCCAGCAGCTCCTGTGGGGGGGGGGGGGCCGGGGCGCTTGAACCCCTCCCCGGGGGGGGGGGGGGGCCGCCACAGTCTTCCTCTTCCCTCCCACTTGCAAGGAGCCCAGGGCAAGGGCTGGCCTGGGGCTTAGGGAATCAGGTGGGCTGTGCAGGGCGGGGAGGAGGCCTTCATTGGCAGCCTGGGGCTGTAGGGGTCTCTGCCTTGTGACTGGGGTGGAGACATTTGCACCAAAGTCTGAACGATAAGGGGTCATCCACAGGCCGCCCCTACAGGGGAAGAACTTTCCAGGGAGCGAGATTGTGCAAAGGTGGGGATGAGCATAGGGTGTTCGAGGCACAGTTAAGTGACCCGTGTGTCTGGAGTGTGGTGGCATGCGAGGGAGCAAGGCAGGATGGGAGCAGGAGAGGGGTCCTGTGAGGTGGGGTATGGGGCCTGGAATTCAGTCTGAGTGGATAGAGGTTTCCGCTAAGCCAGGGGGCCTGGATCTTCCTTAGGCCAAACCAAGACACAGCAGTTGGCGTCTGTCCCCACATCCTGGAGCGAACACGAGCGCTCCTTTTCTCCTAAATCTCCACCATGGGAGCCTGCCTCGGGGAAAGCAAGTCTGCACAGGGCAGGTCTCACCGGGCTGGGGGGCTGCTCCTGCTCCCCAATCAAGCAAGTCCCTTAGCTTACTCGTGAGGTACGAAAGAGGGAGGGGACTACTCTACCCTATGGAAATGGGGCTTGGCATCCCAACACCCCCCCCATACACTATGGGAGGGACACCCTTTGAAAACCTACTTTAAATGAAGTCCGTGTGTCCCAGAATGTGGTCTGCCTACCACAGATGACCCACCTGGATGAACATTTCCATCACACTTTTAATCTCAAAGTTTCCAGAAAAGCCTCACTAGCAGACAAATCCCATTCACCCAGACATTTTTCTTAAAAGCATGCATTCACTGATGAGTGAGTCAATTTTCAGAGTTGTTAAAAGAGTCATTGGCCAAACCCCAAAGAGCAGATGAGGGGGAGCAGGGTGGAGGAGGGTAGGATGGGCAAGGTTCACAGCAGGTGGGGGCCCCCCCCCGCTCTGCACAGTCCCCCCAGAAAACCAAGCAGTGGGGCTGAGCCCACCTCCTAGCTCCAGCCCCAGGGGCATGGGTCAGAGGGCCCCAGGGTCACCAGTGAGGGGGGAGAGTGGCTGGAGGCTAAGAAAGCCCTGAGGCTCTGACTCTCAGTCCCTGGCACTGGCCCAGCCGTCCTTCGGCCTCCCTTGGGTAGGTCTCAAACCACAGCGGAGTGCCCCCACGAAGCTGCAAGTGGTGCCAAGGGCAGGGAGCTGTGGGGAAATCAAAGGTGAGGCAAGAAAACTCCTTCCCCTCCCTCGGGCGCGGATATGCACTCACAGACATGGAAGGAGTCACGTACCAAAGAGACGATGGGGCAAAACGTGTCATTCCAATAATAACCACTTTTTCACATAGAAGTCACCCTAAGCCAATCCCTGCTGCTAGACTGGACTTGCTGGGACTTCCAGCGGCACCAGGGTGCCCCTCCCCCCCTCCAGATGTTGCGCCACCGGAAGGTAGGAAGAGGGAGCCCCGGGGGTACCCCGAGGCACCTGGCAGGGATAGCTGCAGTCTGTCCTCTTCCCTGGCCCTCCCCGCCGCCCACACGGGCCGTGTCGATGAATGCAGGGCTCACGGTTGCTCAATCTCAAAGGCAGGTATAAGGTGGAGTAAAATCACATTCCTGCAGAGCCCAGGCTCAGAGGGCCTGGGCAAGCTGGCTCTGCCTTCAACCTGCTGGGGAGGTTGTTGGGGGCCCAGGGAGTTGGCGTCTACAATGTGCTCGGAACAGTGCTGTCCCCGAGGGCCTTCCTCGTTGCTTCGTGGTCATCACCAGCATCTCAGCCTCTCAGCTTTGCCAGCCTCCCGGCTGACACCCCGCTCAACGCCCCCCATCCCCTGTCCCCGGGCAAGAGCCTGTTGTTCTACACGCGGTTAACTCGCTCCTGGGCCTCGGGGCCCCATCCACAAAATGCAAAATGAATGCATTGGACAAAGTCTAAGGGATTTCTAGGGCTGCAATTTGGGGACCAATCGCCTGACAAACTGGTTCAGTGGGATTAGGGCTGCACACTCCAAATAGAAACATTGCCAAAGCGTAGGTCAAGTGTCTCCCTTCTTCAGGGCCACTCAGATATTTCCTCCCTGCAGTTTCGTATACATAGACTCAGGATTGGGCCCAAATACACATTGCCAGGAGACTCGGATAGGTATCACCGAAGAAAGTGGCTGGGTTTCATCGTTTCCCTCGAAATCTGGTTCTTGACTTCTCCCAGGGCTGGGCTTTTGTTACAGCTCTGGTGCATTGCTAAAGTGCAAGGCCGACTTATCCTCCAAGAGCCAAGACCTAAGGGCTTTCCTGTTTGTGCGGAAGGGTGACCCTAACTGCACCATAAACTCTTGTCTAATGTTTAACTTAACCTTTGCTTCCAGGGCCTGTCCCCCTCAGGGTCCAGCCAGTTCTCCGGTAGTGGGTGACCGGATGTGTGGTGCTCTGCCCCTTCGAGGTGCCACGATGTTACATGAAGTCAGGAGGAGGGGGAGGGGGAGCCCCAGGAACCCCCAGGTCTGGCATGGTAAGTCCCCAATGAATACCATTATGCAGCAGGTTCCCCCCCACCAACAAACACTTGCTGAGTGGATATAAAACATTATTTGATAAGAGGTGCTCAAGAAGTGCTGAATTGAATTCCAGCCATCTGAGCATCACTGCTATAGTGGGTCACTTTGATCAGAAGGAAAACTCATACTGGGTAGGTGGAAACCTCTTGGCACCACGGGTCTGTTGTCTCTCCCTGGCTTGGTTACAGCCACCGAAAAGAAACCAAGGGTTGGAAAGCTATGTAACCAATGTCACAAGTAAGCTTTGCTACATAGAACCCTGAGAGCTGTGAGAAGCTAGGCACACCCCTCAACTACTTGGGTCCTTCTCCACTGCCCAGGAGAGTCAAGCCCACCAGGGGGAGGGTGGGATATGGGTCACCAGGATGGATTCATGCATGGGTAAGGCTTTGGTCCACTAATGTACAACCAGCACTTAGCACAACGCCTTGCATACAGTAGGTGCTCATTACATGTGGGGTGGATGGATGGATGGACCTCTTATGAAGTACTACACACCGTTGTTATATTAGAAAGGGTGGAACAGGGGCGCCTGGGTGGCTCAGTCGGCTGGACGTCTGCCTTCAGCTCAGGTCATGATCCCAGGGTCATCTGGCTCCCTGCTCAGCGGGGAGTCTGCTTCTCCCTCTCCCTCTGCCCCAGGGCCCCCTGCTTGTCTTCTGTCTCTCTCTCTCTCTAATTAAAAAAAAAAGGGTGGAACAGCAAAGAATTTTACTTCCTACATTTACTTTACACATTTCTGTAATTTTTTAAAACCACAAGCATGTAATTATTTTCAATGGCCAAGACAACTAAAAGGAAAAAAAAAAAACACTCTCTTTCAATAAAAAAATCTCTATTATTCATGCCACGGCGTCCCACCCATCTCTGCCCGTGAGGCACGGGAACGCATTGAGAGCTATGTGAGTGTTTGTCTCCGGTCTCCCTCCTGTGCAGCTACCCATCCTCCCACTTTTCCTCCCAACTCCGCCGACCGTCCCTGTCCCCGGAAATGCTGCCTCCTCACTCTCCAGCCCGCTGGTGTGAACTAGAGCAAACTGCCAAAAATGGACCATCCAGATTGGTGACGTGAAATTAACACTGAGTCTCCAATGGGATTTTTACACACCCATTTCTAAGGACCCATTTCTTGAGTAACATTTACTGACCTGGAAAATGCTCACCAAATAATGTTAACTGAAAAAAAAATCTCTCAACTCCAAATTGGGTATACGACGCATACCTAATTTTATGGAAAACATTGACAAAGAGGAGCTGGATGGAAACAGTGTTAGATGTCAGCTGGGATTAGAATTGGGACAGGTCTCTCTTTTCCCTCTGGGGGTTTGCAACAGGACCCAAACTGTCTGCAATGGTCAGGAGTTCTGACTTCTATAATGAGGAAAATTGTTTTTGATCGACTGGGGGATGCTAGGCGTACAAAGTGATGTTCGACTTCACTCCGAATTAAAAAAAAAGAAATGCAAAGGAAAACCAAAACGTGACATAAATCTTCGCCCATCGCCTTGGCGGTGTACCCCTCCAAAGGGGAAGCTAGGAGGTGGCAGGGGCAGGCGAGACCTCTCCCACACCAGTGGTGAAAGGAGATTTGTGCACCATTCAGCAATATTCCTTACCCCGCTCAAATGCATCCTGCGGTTTTGCTCACACATACACGCGAAGGCAATGCGAGAGGTTCGGATGCGCTCTGTTCGTAACTGAGAATGGCCTAAATCCTACAGCGCTGAGCCAGTGGGCGAGACCCCGCTGTGAGCTGATGGTTAGCAATCCCCGTGAATGGACCAGGGTGTGAAGGGTGACCTTTTTGGGGCAAAAAGGAAAAAGTACGCGTCTGTCAGTGCAGGACGCGTCCCTGGGAAGATGGAGAGATTGGGGTGAACTCCGTCGTTCGCCCCCAGATAGCAGAGCTGGGTAGGGCCTGGAGCTCAGAGGCCAGGGGGAGACGGCCTTCTCATTGAGCAGCCTTCTCCAACTCTGGAATCCTGAGTCATGGGCAAGTATTGGATCAATGAGTAAATGAGAACTGTCTGAGGGGATCAGGTAGGCAGAAGACCTGGGTCCTCTGGGTGTCCCCCAGGTCCCGCTGCTCAGAGCCAGGCCTGGAGGGGGAGACCGTGGCCAGGTCGAGGCCCAACAGTACTTGCCTGAGGCAGCGATCCACGTCCTGGTCACTCCGGCAGTACTGGAGGCCTCCGTGTCTCAGGGCGTCCTCGGGGTTGGCAAAAGCCTGGAATATATCCGCCGGGAATGACCACTGGAGCTCCCGTTGCATGCCAAGCGCTGGCCCTCGCCAGGAGCAAGGCTGCTACGGACTGAACATTTGTGTGCTCCGCAAACTCGTATGTTGAAAGATGATGGCATTAGGAGGTGGGGCCTTCGGGGGTGATTAGGTCATAGGGGTGGAGCCCTTGTGAATGGGATTCATGCCCATTAAAAGAGAGCCCCCAGAAAGCTCCCTTGCCCCTTTTGCCAAGGACAGAATGAGAAGACAGCCATCTGTGAACCAGAAGCAGGCCCTCACCAGACTCCGAATCTGCAGGCACCTTGGTCGTGGGACTTCCCAGACTCCAGGACTGTGAGAAATCAATCTGTGGTTTGTAAGCCCCCCAGTCCAGGGTATGTTATAGCATCCAGAACAGACTAAGGCAAAGGCCCTCCTGCCCCCACTCTTGGGAAGTTCACAGTCTGGATCGGGGAATTGCCTATGAACCAGGGGAGACCAGGTGGTGAGGGTTAAAAAAGAGAAGAGACAAGGTTGGCCTTGAGAATGGTCATAGGAGACCTGACCAAGTCTGGGGGTCAGAGAAAGCTTCTATGGGGCAGGGACATTAAAGCTGAGGTTTGAAGGATGCGACAGCATTAACCAGACAAAGGGAGGGTTGGAGAAATAGCACTGAAGATATACAGAACAGCATGTGCAAAGGCCCTGGGGTCAGAAGATGGGCATGTTTGAAGAACAGAAAATCAGTGTGGCTGGAATATAGAGAACAAGGGGCAGAGGCCCAAGATGAAGGGTCCTGGAGGCACTCTAAGAATTTGGACTTTGAACTAAGAGCAATGAGAGGGTTTGCTAATCAAGGGCAGAGAACCCCAGTTCTGCACTGACTAGCTACACATTTTGTTTAAAGATTTATTTGAGAGAAAGCGAACGAGTGTGCGTGTGTGCATGGGGGGGGGGAAGGAGGAGGAAGAGGGAGAGAATCTCAAGCAGACTCCCTACTGAGTGTGGA